TAGTAGCAGCAGTAGCAGCAGCATCAACACCAACATTAAATCTAACATTAACAGGAATAGTGATAAGAACAGGAACAAATAGGAACTAGTAAAACTATAGAGTTCGTAGAGGCAGGAGCATCAGCAGGAGCCGTCGTCTTCCTCTTGGCATGCCCCTGCGTATTCGCTTGCACTCGCCTTCGTGCTCGCAACCGTACTCGTTCCGAATTCACTTTGGCATGCACATTCGTTGTCGTGGTTGTACGTAGTCGCATTCGCAGTAGTCGTCGTGTCGTCCAACTGTTTTTGATGCCTAAGAAGTTTGCCGGGGCAGGGAGGAAGCCCTCCTGTTCCACCAAGAGGCTCCATAGTCAGGACTTGCGCCATACACAGCTCCAGCCGCTTCCACTGCGCATTGCCTGTCACTCGGAAAGATGGGACAAGCTCGAGGAGGATCCTTGGGCCCTCATCGGACTTCAAGATTTTCAAAAAGAGAGTTCATTGGGGTTGCGGCTTCATGCCAACTGACAAACATCTCTCGTCCAGAGCCGGCTGCAACCAAAAGAAGCCACGCAAAGACGCACGTCTGTGCTGCGGGATTTTGTCGGGCAGCGCCTATTACTGTATGATCCCTCTCCTGGCCCTCGTGATGATGTTGTACTGTCATCACCTGTGAATACACTGGTTGGGGGCTAGGGTTCTATTGTTCAACCATCCTGTTCCGTTGTCTCTTAAGTCCCTGGATGTATCGAGAATGCCTGGGCCTGGTCCAGGATCAAAGGGCTTGGGGTTTGGGTTCGTGCAAAAAAGATTCCAGTTTAAATAGTTTAAACAACTCCCCCATTGCGGAAGGACTCCTCATGAAAAGGGCATGACACCAACGACCCGCAAGAACCACTGTCAGGGGACTGCTGTAGTAGGAAGGACGCTAATTCCGGAGGAGAAACCGAATTGTGCCCAATACAGCAACCCTAAACCCCAAACTGGCAGGCTACGTGTGACTTAAGATCCGGCCGAAACTGCACTAGCAAAGCTTTCCCGTAGCATAGACACAACCCAAAACCGGAACCGTCCTGACGCATAAAGGCATGAGGACTTGGTAAACCTTCTGGTTTTGTCAAAAAACCGATTTCGGGTTTAGCTATGAGGAGGCCGTTGAACCAGGGCATGCACGTGGCATGCAGGTGGTCCGGCAGGCCCTCGGGATGCACTCTGAGCTCTTCGCCCATATGAAGAAAATCCGAGCAGGGTAATAGACAAGGGGAGAACGTTCCGCACGGTGGTTGATCGTCCCATGAGCAGAAATTTCTGAATCGCAGAACGACTCGCTCTTGATTGCGCGACGACTGCTTCAGGCCCCTAGCCTGACATGTTAACAAAAGCAGCTGTAAAGCCTAAGCAATAAAGAGCCATAACCACGAAATGGCACACAGCTAGAGAATGTGTCCCCAAAGCGTTGAAAGCAGCGAGGGGACACCGAACATCATCTCATCTCGCCTAGACCTAAGCTCACCGCCCATCATCTCTCCATCCATCCATCCATCCCTCCCTCCATCCATCCATCGCTGCATCCATCCATGCATTCATCCGGCCATCCATCCTCCTAACTGACACAAATCGTCACGGCACCTCCCGGCTTGTTAAACGATATTAGCACAGACTGTGAGATAGCAGGCAACCTCCTGAATTTCACAAAATCCAATGCCATGCAAGCTCGAGACAACCTCCCATCAACATTATCACATCATGCCATCCAAACCAGCTCCCGAGAAAACCCCTTTGCACCCTTTCGGAAAAGGAGCCCTCAACCCAAACACAAACACAAGAAACTACAACTATCAAAAGCATAGCTGCAGGAGCGTGGGTACGTGTCCGAGCATTTCCGATCGGGCGGATCTCCTGCAACTAGAGCCACATTATCAGATCCCAACTTTGAAGGCTTATAAGGTTGCTATGGGGACAGTAACAATTGAAGTAGGGTTTCATGTTACATGCTGTAATTATGTAATGAGGAACCCGAACGAGGGGTAGTGTTAGCAAATTATGCATGCAGCTATAGTGCTTGCTGCCAATCCGCATCCAGGCCTCCATGGGAAATCCTGAAGCTTTGAATCCCCTGAACCGTCTCTTGTGGTCGAGATGTCTGGAGCTGCAGTCAGCTTTTCCTGCTACTGTGCCTAACATGTTTTTGTTTCTATAACCATGGCATACAATTTGGCCACAGTTGCTTTCTTAACCCTAAACCCGAACCCCCCTACATATACGCACGAATGCATGGGCAGAGAAAAAAAACAGCTGGACAAGAGCAAGAGCTACAGAGTTACTGAAATATGGAATTAGCATAGAAAATGCTTACATGCGGTGCTATGGTTCAACATGGCACGCTGCAGTGGCTAACAACTGAATTTTCATCGCAACTTTTCGCGAGTCGCACGAGACAGGAAGACCACATGCACATTCTGTGTGTGGGAGCAATGCCACACGGGAAACCAGCAATACCGCCGTGGAGAAGGCACACGAACCAACAGTAAACACACGAGAAGACAACAACCAAACAACTAAAACCAAAAACACAACAACTCATAGGCCATGTCATAGGCTTATAGTGTTTGGGTTGATTTTGTTGGTACGGTTGTCGGTCCTTTGGTTAACCATAGGGCTGGATTTTTGTGATTGCATTTTTCGATTTGGTGTTTGTTTGCAGAAAACCACAAAGCACAACACACTGTAAGTGCTTGTCCTTGGCCGTTGAATCGGTTCGCTTCGTCTCCCCCCTGCGACGGTCTGAACACATAAAAACACGGATGTCTACATGTATATATATATATATATTTTGAGAGAGAGAGAGAGAGAGAGAGAGAGAGAGATTTCTACAGATATATAAATAAATAAATATATATATATACATATGTATATATGTGTATGTATATATATATATACATATGGACACTCACACGAAACAAACACAGAGAGAGAGCGAGAGAGAGAGAGAGAGAGATATATATATATATGATGCAGGGCTGCCACACGCCCCCTCCCCCCGCAAACCCCGCAGACCCCGCAAACCACGAACCCCGCAAACCCGCAAACCCCACAAACCCCGCAGACCCTGCAAACCCCGCAGACCCCGCAGACCCTGCAACCCGCAGACCCGCAGACCTGCAAACCCCGCAGACCCGGCAGACCCGGCAGACCCCGCAAACCCCGCACCCCGCAAACCCGCGCAGACCCCGCAAACCCTGCAAACACAAAAGCCACGCGTCACATAGGCCAGAACAGTCCAAGCCACGGGGGGAGGGGGGGGGGAGGGGGGGGGCGCAGAACGCACAGCGCACAACCATATAAACACACACGCGGGAGATGTGGGGTCAATGTGGCAGGTTACCGTGTATATGAATGTATTTTATGTCCTTCGAGAGTTTGCCCCTTTGGGTGTCCATGAAGTTGGTTGGCCGCTAGGTTTTCGTGAGGTTGTCCCTGATCTGTTAACCCAATATTCATAACATGTTCACGCGCGGGGGCAAGGCTGGCGGCAGTGGCCGCGCATCGCAGCATGACGCTGCGCGTGTGATGCCTTGACGATCTGTCCTTTGGTTTCCGTGCGGGTTTGTATCGAAATGCCCTTCTCTTGGTCATGCCTCTGACTCGAAGCACTGCATATTGGGATTTTGGACGCAATCCCGAATCCTGCCAGCACATGGCGGTCGTGTGACTCCGCTGCTCTGAACCCTTTCGGGACACTCGTTCTCTATGTTACTCCAGTTTGCTTGGTGTTCCCGACGGGGGTGACCAAAACAAAAACTCAACCAAAGCGCTCTCCAAGCCTTTAACCTGCCACCTGCCGTGCACATTACAGGTTCGGGTAGGGTTTAGGGTTTAGAGTACGGGCTTCCTACTCGTCTTTACAGCTTGCCTTATTTATGCTCGACGCAAAGGCCTGCTGCGACGATAGATGCATGGACTGCTGGGGTCTTACCCTTGTCTTCCTTATCATGGCTTTTCTATATAATTACTTCCCTACAAAGGTGGGTTTTTGCCGGGCTCACGGAAGGGTATCGTTCAAGTTAAGATACCTTGTCTTGGGGGAAAGAGTCAAGCCAGTCCTTCTTCAGCAACCGCGACGTTCAGGATCACGTCCTGCAGCAAAGTCTCAATCCGAAGCTACATAGGAGTTGGGGACATACATGTATGGGGATTTAGGTTTAAGGATGATGGGAGGGACTCTGCAGGCCCTAGTTTATGGGTAGTTCTCTAATTTAGGGTCCCATTGCATATCCCTAACATAGTAGGGCACCCTTATAAAGGAGAGCTACCCACATGGATTCTTTGGAGCTGACCTGTGGGCTCCTCAAGAAGCAAAAGGCCATCATAAGGCTTAGGGTTTAGGGTTTATAGGGCATCACATGCCGAATCGAGTTCCCATATTAGAACTGAATTACAGCCCTCAGGGTTTCATACGGCTTGTTAGGGTTTAGGTTGGAGTGTTGTAGGGTTCTTGTCTGTGGCTTGGGGCTTTGGGTTTCAGGGTTTTGGGGTTAACAAGTCCGGAGAATCAAGCGTACACAAAATTTGGCCATCGGGCTCTGCTGGGTCTAGGGTTGCGGGGTCGCACGCGAGCAGCCCGTCCGGCGCGATGGTTTCGAGTGCATGTGCAACCTCCGTCCAGCGGCGTGTGGGGTTTTTGCTCCTGGAGATCTGCAAACGGGGAGCAGCATGTTGGACTCTCTGGACAATCCTAGGAGGATGCAATCCTGCTTTCCAGCCGTGATACTTTTTTCAGATATCAGTGCCATCTGCCTTCCAACCAAGAACCGGCACAGCTCAAAGGACATGTAAGACCGTGGTTCGGTGGCTTCGGTTTTTGACTAGTAGTTTGTTTGGGCTTTCTGATTGAGAAGGGTTTGGAGGATTTCGGGTTCGGGGTTCTCCGTGAGAGGTTTGACTTCTGAATGGCAAGAACACGGGACTTCAGCAAAATCCCGTGATCCCTGCAGACATGACTTCAGGATAAAGCCTAGAGCGCATGTTCTGCACCGCTCCACGGCACCCGACCATGGAAAAGCAAACGAACATGAGCACATCGGCAAACCTCTCCTAGATTAACTCCACCGCACAATGCTTCGACATGACCTCCAAAATTCAAACAGAAACGGTCGGGTCTTGGGCAAATGTGTGTCCTGAGCTCCTCTGCCAAACTTGCGGACACCTCAATACATTTGGGCATGCCCGGTGCATCTGGACTGAAACGAGGAGCACCGACATGTTCCAGTTCTCGGCACCACGCAGCGTGTGCCCCAATCATCCTTCAACTTTGACCTCACAACTTCGGCCCGCCACCTTTGAAGCATCCAGAAAGCAAGCACTCGAAGAGAAGGAAGTGCAGTAATTCAACATTGCACAGACTCGCCCGAAAATACCTCAAACTAGAGCCTGACTTGTGTAGCGCTGGCCCTCTGAAGTTCTGTTTTGAAGCTCCTATGCCAGTTCAGCCAAGACACATTCTCAGGCACGCTGTTGCCAAACTCGGTGACGAGAATCGTCCGGAGTTCAGAGAAGTGCAACGAGTCCAGAGCCTTTTGGTGTCTGATTGTATCCAGAGAAACAGTCTACCTCAACAAAGCCTAACCCCTCCGGGACCAAAGCTGCGGGCCATCGTCTTTCTGTTTTCTTAACTCAGCAAACCTTGAGGCTCCGAATTGACTCCGCATTGTTGCCTGAATTTCGACATGCCGTTCAACGAAACCATAGTTGACAGCCAGAAAATACCTGTCGACTTCCTAACTCCGTTTTCCCAGATCCTCTCGGGACGATTTGTTCATGGGGCCCAAAGCCAGTCGTCCCCAAATGTTGGCCAAACTTCAGCCGAAATGCACGCCCTTCAGGCTGCAATGAAAACTTACTGCGCAAACTTTCTGCCGGACAATAAAGTACACGCCTTCAGAGCACATCCCGAATCTATATACCATAAACTTTGCAACAGAGAATGCGCACGCAGCCAGAAACATGTAATAAAAGCCGTAGAGGCACATAGATAATATGTACATACATACATACATACATACACACATACATACGTACATACATACAAACAAACATACATACATTGACATACATACATGCATACATATGCACATACGTTAATATGTACATACGTCAATACATTCATACATACATACATACATACATACATACATAGGCATGAACAAAACACATACATTCAGAGACGCGCGCAGGCATACATGCTGCCTGCACACGTTCATGCACCTATGGCTGCATGCACACATGCGTGCCAATCGTCCTCCCATCGAAATCTTCGTTCCGTCCATCCAACCAAACCGCAAAATCTGCGGCACAAGCGGACGCATGCGTGGGGGTATAACTAGTTGTCCGTGCCTCCATAGGTTCATGCACTCGTTTGGCATATACACAAATGTTCGTATTGAACCTGATGGCTCCAAGTTGATTTCATTTCTCGTAGCTCTGTGAACTGTGCGCATCGGGTTTGTGAGGGAATCGAAAAGTTGTAGCTTACCAGATTCTGGACACGTACTGCAGAAATCCGAAATGAGATGGACCTGGCAACATTCAGAATGACGTAGATATGTACAAACCTATAGACTTTACTTGTATGCATATGTACATACACATGCGCATCTACGTTCCTGTGTGTCGTGTGGTGTGAAAAACGACTAGCACTACAGAACCTGCACCGCAAGGGAACAAGATCGTTGAAGGAAACACACGCACGAGTCGCACCGACAATACCCCAGAGCAGTTGCGGGAGGCAACAATAATACGAAGGACTGTATAGGCAGCCTTTCCTTTCAGCCGAGCTTCGTTTTGCCGGAGGCTCTCATAAACCTCAGCTGCGACGATGGAAAACTACTCGCATCTCCTGCTGGCAGAACGATTCTCGACTCGCGCATGTCTGCAACGCAAAAGGATGCAAATGGCCTTCTATACCCCACGAGTCGCACAGCATCACCCTGCAAAATACCATGAACTTGCTCTACGAACTCCCCATTGATGGCTTGTTGCATCGCTACGCTCGTGCAGAAGCTGTGTTTGCCCGTGCTAAACCGCTGTCGAAAATTGGAACTTTTGCTATGGATCTCACGTCGCCTGATGTTGCAAAGCCCAAACATGTTGTCTCCTTCTCAGCCCTCGCATCCCACCTTCGTTCTGAAACAACGGAAGGCTGTCATCAACACCCACAATTATTCTGAAAAGTCGCTAGAGGATTGCCCAGAGTGCGGAGATGACCGACAATGCCTTGGCTTCAGCTGGGGCCAAAAGAAAACAAGTCAACGGGGCCGAGGTATGGCGCGACATTGTATTTTGTTGAAACACCACTCCCGGGATAATGCTGTGTGTCACTGTAGCCATCTGAGAATGTCTGCGTGCAAACTCGGGCACAATGCAACGCATTAATCCCTAAACCTAAATCATCCCGAAATTGTTTCCACTGCCAGCTGTGTTGCAGGCAACGCCTGTCATGTGCGCAGGGGGAGTCGGCAGCGCAGCCTCCTTGCACGAGCAGGTTTCGGGCTTAGGGGCTTTAAAGAGTTAGGTTTGTAGGGTTTTAGGGTATGGTAGAGATTGGGATTTTTTTCCGGGGCAGGCCAAGCCGGCAGCCGGCCATGCAGCACCACCGAACGGCCGGACCGCTTTTCTCAAACGAGTGGAAACCCCGCTCCAGCTCTTTGGTGGCGAGGCTGTGGATCGTCTCCTGGCACCGCGCCAACTCAAAATGTAATCAACTGTGATGCCGCCTGCCCGTCTCCACTATAACAACTGCAACCAAGGCACTTCAAGTTCCACCCCTGACTTGATCGTGATTGATCCTGGCGGTTCTTCCTGCAAACTCTGGAGGGCCGTCGCCTCGCTGAGGGTACCCTCGGTAAACCCATGCAACAACCGACACAATAACTGCTTGCCGTAACCCTGCCACAAATTGACAAAGCAAACATGTAGCATATATCAATTATGATGCAGGGTGTTGGTGACCTACAGAATTACAGAATGCACAGGCCCCATTTTGCCAAAGGCGCTTCGTGATCCACCAATGCAGGATCGCCGGTCTGGACGTACAACGAATACACAGGAAGTAGTAACCATTTCCTGAGAGTTTAGGACCGCTCAACGTTCATAGTGACAGACCCCATGAGAACCCGTCGAATCCATACCCATTGCTGTTCAACAGTTGACGTCGTGTTAGGCTTCCGCTTTCGGCAATGTGCTCACACAAGCCCCCCCACAACTGGATCCGCTATGTTCAGCTATCATACACGCAGCCATTGACGAACCCTCCCGCTGCAACTTCAACCATGTGCACAGCGGCATATTTCACAGATTTCCCGAAAGGGAATCCTCAACGAGGCGAATCAACCGCTCGCGAACATGGACAAGAGTCAGAAGTTCTTCGCTGCATACTCCTCTTGGGATGCAGAAACCAAAGGAATCCTCAGAGTTTGTCACGCCACGCGCACAGCTCTGTGTGTGTGTGCGCCCACACATGGCACAGCTGCGCCTGAATTACTCTGTAGTATCGCTGGTGTGTTCCTAAAGGGCGAAAGTTGGAGGACCCTGATGGGGCGAATGTGGGAAATGCTGAATTTGACACCCTACGAGCAGCTACAGGCGTGCCTGCAGAGCCCGAGTGTGATCTCTTCAGTTTCCTGGACAACACGTCTGAGGCAACGGCAGCCATGGGAGGTGGCGGGCCTGCGCGCCCCCAGCCTGCCCAAAACTCCTGCAACATTTTGGGCAGGTGGTGTGAGATGGCAACAAAATCACATCCATGCACGTCCACCTCAACGTTCAACGTGATCTGCAAATACTGGCCCTCGTAGAAAGCGGCGACGCATCTGTCGAAATGCATGATGTCGTGATTAATTCAGGTGTGGTTTCGAGACTTCTTCCAAGTTCTCCCATACGTAGCACTTTCCGTGTTTTTCCGGCGATGTACGAGCGGTTTATTAGCCCAACCACCCTTTAGACAGCCCAACCCCATGGCCCAACATGTGAAGAAGATAGCCCAGAAGCAAAATCCCCTGCCCGAAACATGCGACTTCCGTAAAAGAAACTCAGCCCTACTAGGGGATTTGCTACGCGGAGGTGGCTTGAAACTCTGAGAAACAATATTTTTTTTCAGAAGCTTCCCCCATGGCAAAGCGCGAAATCACGACATAGATCAGAACATGCGACAATCGCAAGAACTCACTACTACTTCGGGATTGCTAAGCCGGGCTAGCTTGAAACTCTGAAAGATAGGCTTGTTCTGCGGAAGCTTCCCCCATGGCACAGCGAGAAATCATAACATCGACCATGGTTCAGGGAGGCCCCCTAAACCCTAAACCCGAAACCGATGCATACACGCCTCTTGACTGGCTTCATTGTAACGAAGGCGAGCCCCCCAAAGTGGTGGTCGTATGGTAGGCCCTAACGATACCCTAACGATACCCCAACGATACCCTTTCTGACTACAAATTCTGCCCAGCAAGACCAAGAGGCCCCTCACGACACTTGTGGGGAAACGTCGTTTAGGGTTCAGGATTTCGAGTTTAGGCGCCCCCAGGCAAACAAATGATAGGTTCTCCTGGCCACAGTTAAGCTTGCGCTATGCAGAGGCTAGGCAGGGCCCGTCGCTGTCGTCGTCGTCAACGTTGCTTTGGTTGTTCTCCTCCGCCCGCAGTTGAAAGCAGACACCCGCACGCGAAACCCTTCGAATGGACCCCCCAAGCGCAACAAGCCCCGAGCCCCCTCGAACGCACTCCCCCAAGTACAGCCACCCGCACAAGCGAAACACAGCGAGTTTAGCAGATTAGCAAACGATAACATCTACACCTTAATCGCGAGCGTGCCTTGGCGTTTCATGCGTTTCGTGTTCCAAACACAGCTTACACAACCGTAGGTTGCTAAGCACAAGATGTTGAATCTTGCGGGTTTCCCCGTGGCACAGCACGATTGGGTTATCTTCTGGGCCTGCGGGACAATAAATACCACTCCGACCCAATAAAACACACTGTCAAGATCACAGGATGTCGGATGGAGAGGGATGGCACGATAACAACTGCGATAACCCTCCAGCGGCGTCAAACAAACAACATCCCCCCCCCGTAAAGGAGAGGGGCACCATCACCTGCCAGCACGAGGAGGCGTTGCCGGGCGGGCTGGGCCAGTTCCGGGTAGCGCCGCTGCTTGCGGCGCTGCGCAACGTCGATGGCAGCCACATCCCGATCCGATCCGGGGAGCCCGGTTGCGGGCGTCCGTGTGTGCGCAGCGGCGAAACCAGCGCAATGCCTCGCAGCGCCAGGGCGTGCCATAAAATGACGAAGTCGAACCGACACCGGTCATCTGCCGCGACGCCTGGCGCGGTGGTCCGTGCCAGGCATTCAGGCACAACCCGTCCTTCCGCTGCGACTGCTTCTCGTGCGGGGAAATCCCATGTTCGCTCGAGCACTCACATGCATAAAATTTCAGATACTGGTCGCAAGTGTTGAGTACGCAAACTGCCGGTTTCTGCCAACTATGAGGCCAACTTCCGGGTTCTGAATCTGGGCCCGGTGACATGGGCATCCCATTCCGGGCGTTCGCCCCACCCTTGGCCTACCAGCCTGTCCCCCGCAGCCGTAGGTGCCCAGGCGCCGTCGACGCACCGCCAATAGCGAACTCATGGGCGCATCGGTGTGCTGTGTCAGGGCGTCTCTGCGATTACGCGTCTGCCCAAGCTGCCCAGTAAGCTGCTGGGGTTATTCGCTCGGCACCGGCTTGGTCGAAGCCACCAAAGGCCGCCGGGAAGAAGGCGACCTAGCGCGCCGCTTCCAACCCCCGCCCTCGCACAGCAGGTTTCGCCCAGAGGTGCTGTTGTAGGACTTTGTAGGACCAACCTACCGGAGACGAGGTGGGCAGGAGCCAAGATTTTTCCGTTTCTTGTCGATGTTTGTCGATGTTCATTGTCCGCGGTTGTTCAACTTTCGCTATCGTTGGTACAACGAAGTGCTACAGCCAAGTCCGCAGCTCGGCCCAGGCAGCCTGTGTGCTACGCTGGAGTGGGCTCATCTCCGTCGCGGCGCAGCGCGCGCTCGCTGCCACCTTCCTCGAACTTCCCCTCCAGTCGGAGCTCGGTGCTGCTGGCCCCCCGCCAGCCTTGCATGAGCTCCTGGCCGACACTCGCTAGCAGGAGGCCCCTCAGCCCAGCCGTCTACCTGCCCGTGCTTAGAGCGTCGCCCGTTCGCCGTAGCCTGCAGATGGCACCGGGACCTGGACCGTCTTGAACCTGCAGTCGCAAAAAGGTGCGAAGGAAAAAACGATCTCGGAACAACGGTCGTTGTTTCCAGCAATCGTGTTTTCAGTTGATCCGCCGTAAAACTGGGTAAACCATGCGCTTACCACAGTGAGTCAAGGCATCGGCCAGGACGCCACCCCAAGCGATGAGATGATGAAGTCAACAACACACGTGTGTTTTTTCGTCAAGGTTCATGGCTTGAGGTAGCACACTTACCAATGTGGCCCTCAATACGAAATGAATTTGTACAGTTGCTGCGGCCTCACACGTTCAGTGCATCTCAGTACGACGCCGACTGCCGCCGTTGTCCCTTGGCCGACGGACCGTAGTCCTGGTGACCCGAAGGGGGCACGGTGCAAAGTGCCTACCTCTTCAAGACGCTAGTCAGAACCATATCGACATGAACGAACACGTCAGGGCATTATTCTACAGAGCGCCGTGGAACTTCGAAGCGTGGCATTGCTTATAGCGTCCCGGACATGGCCGCGTCAATTTGCGCAGCGAGCTTCGTGCGGCAAAAACACGCTGAACCCACGGTGATCGCCGGCGGGGACAGCCGTGGCCCTGTGCACCGAGACGCCGTCCGATGCCGACAACGACGAGGCGGCGTTGCCGGGCGGGCAGGTTCAGGATAGGTTTGATGACGGTTGCGGCGCGCGGCACTCGACATCGGCGCCGGGGTATACGGCCTCGCCAATCCACGTGGTGTAAGGGGCGACACGATAATGGCATCGAGATGCATCGAGCATCATCGAGCATATCGAGCGCTTCTTGGGAACCATGCCGCGGGGAGGACAGCTCGCGACAAAGACTTTGAGAGCATGGTCAGCATATGTCAGCATGACAGCACAAATTCGCACACGACAGCTCATAGATTCGATCGTCATGCCGTGGTCTGTAAGCCACCGCAACTACGGCAGGTAAATGCATGTAGAATTCTAACCATTACTAACCTTCTGACGCGGCTGTGGTGGGGCGCAGATGGACTCGGCCACGTCTGCGGCGGCAGTTCGGCCCTTCGGCCAGCCATGTCTGCAATCGCTGGGCCCAGGCCGTGTGAACTCCCAAACGTGACACGCACCTGCGCGTTGAAGTTGACTTAAACGGCTAATTCCACCTAAATCTAACACACATAACAGGTGACTTTTCGCACGAAGTGAAAGGAATGTGCGCGTAAACACAAGAAAGCTGCAAGCGCATGCTCCGTTTCCAGGGTAAACTGCCGACACCTGCCGACCCTGGGAAGAACAAAAAAACATGCTGGACGCTGGGTTTACGACAACCCGCGGGCAACCGAGGGCCGCTCCCAACAGCAAGCTGCACGGCGACGGACGAACATGGCGCTCCCGAATGTCTTTGAATATGTTACGACGACCTCCCGGCGTACTTGCTGACAGCACAGGATAATACAGGTGGACGTGAAAGGCGAGAACGACCCTTCCGGAAGTTGCTAGACACCTTTGAACGGCCCGGTTCAAACGAAAACGAAAAAAGTCACGACTGGACGCGGTAAACACCCTTGAACGCTGAGGCCAACAAGAAGCAATCGACCCAAACATCATCAAACTTCTTGCTTCCCCCCTCTGTATGCTAGCAATCCAAGGTCGTTAAATACACGCCTTTGGTCCGGTCCCGTGTCCCTTTCCCTGAGTGTGCGCAAGCCTTTGAAAAGTGATACCGATACATCTGCTTAGAGGGTTGTTGGCTGCTCCGACACCCCTTGTTAAAAAGGCTCGGGAGACCCAAATACAACTTCCTAAAGGGTTTGTTGGGTCTCCGTATAAAGCACCCAATAAACCTTCCTAAAAGCTTTTCTGCTGCTTCTGAAGGGATTTCGGGGGGCATCCGATACACCTTATTACATGGTTTTGGATGCTGAGATACAGCTTCCTCAATATGGGAGCATCCGATGCACCTTTTCAAAAGGTTTTCGCGGCGCTCCGTTACACGCCTGCAAAGAGTGTCGTTGTCGTGAATAAGCGAGTAGTTCCACTACTAAAAAAATGATTGTTGCTGCTACTACTGCTGCTGCCGCTTCTACTACTACTACTACTACTAGTACTACTACTACTACTACGACGACGACGACTACGACTACGACTACGACTACGACTACGACTACGACTATTACAACTACAACTACAACTACAACTACAACAACTACCACAACTACCACTACCACTACCTTTACCACTACCACTACCACTACCACTACTACTACTACTACTACGACTACGACTACGACTACGACTACGACTACGACTACGACTACGACTACGAGTACGAGTACGAGTACTACTACTACTACTACTACTGATGCTACTGGCTAAAACTACGGACTAGTACTACTACTACTACTACTACTGCTACTGCTACTGGTACTGCTACTCCTCCTCCGCCTCCTCCTCCTACTCCTACTCCTACTCCTACTCCTACTCCTACTCCTACGACTACGACTACGACTACGACTACGACTACGACTACGACTACCACTACCACTACTACTACTACTACTACTACCACTACCTACTACTACTACTACCACCACGACGACGACGACGACTACTACTACTTTTTTCCGAGAGCCATAGTCCTGCGCGCGGTCCCGTGTTAGGGCCGGTCGGTCAGCGCAGCGGGGGCCGGCAGGCGGGGTCGGCAGGCGGGAGTGCCAACACTCTGCGCCGGCCCGGGCACAGCACTTCTACTACTACTACTACTACCACCACCCCACCACCACCACCACCACTACCACTACCACTACCACTACCACTACGACTACGACTACGACTACGACTTGCGGCTGCGGCTGCGGCTACAGCTACAGCTACGGCTACTGCTGCCACTACTACTGCTGCTACTACTGCTGCTGCTACTACTGCT